ACTGGTTTTACCTCGAGACGTCTGCATTTGTTTGATATTGTTTTGAATTATATACATATTATAGTAAACATAATAATTATATATACATACATACATATGTATATATATACATACATATATATATATATATATACATATATATGTGATAATGCATATATGATACACATATATAACATACTATTACATTACATATGCAAAATATGTTTAATAGGATATAATATATATTATATATATATATTATATTATACATATAACATTATATATATATATATATATTATATATATGCATTCATAGTCTACATCAACAAGCCGTGCAAACCAATCAGAAGATATAGTATCATCACTATGTGTAAACATATAAATATGCATGCCTATTATATATATTAGATTTACATAATATACATATATATATATATATGTATGTATATATTCATATGCATATATACTTATGTATATACAATTATATACATGTGATGAATATATATATATATATATAGTATACAAAGCATATGTAATATATAATGCATGATATATATATATATATATATATATATGTTTGCTGCAAGCAGCAGCAGCTGCAAGCAGCAGCGGCTGCTGCAGCAGCAGCTGCTGCTGCAGCAACAGTTCCTCTCTCCAGCTGCTTCGAGATCAGCAATATGAAGATGTACAAACAAAACAAACGACAAACCAAATGGGCGGCGGCTGCCTAACAAACAGCAGCAGCAACAGCAGCAGGTGCTGCTGTTGCTGCTTCTACTTGTTCTCCTCTTGTTGCTCTTCAAGCTGCGGTTGCTACTGCTGCTGTTGCTGCTACCGTCGCTGCTGCTGCTGCTGCTGTAACTGCTGCTGCTGCCGCTGCTGCTGCTGCTGTAACTGCTGCTTCCACTGCTGCTGCTGCTGCTGCTGCAACAGCAGCAGCAGCAGGTTTGTTTGTTAGATGAGAATTAGAGGCCGTGCTCTCTCGCACCTGCTGCTTCCTTCAGCGGTTGTTCAGTCAGAGGATTGAATTCTGGAGACAGTTTGAGCAAATCAAAGATAGCTTCATGTGCTTTGTCGCGAATCTGCTCAGTTGTTAAACCCTACAAAGAAATAGAAGAAAGATATAGAAATATATATATATATATATAATAGAATTAAGAATAAACAAATTGATGATAGCTTTGTCAAGAATCTATTTAAAAAGTATATATAAAATAATCTATATAAAATTAAAAATAATAAATAAAAGAAGAGATAATAGATAAAATAAAACAAAAATATAGATAAATTGAATTCTCACATGAATATCATCGCCGTGAGGTGTACGTACACCTCAGAGTGCATTATATATATATATATATATATATATATATATTATATAAATTCATAACTATTTAACCCTTACTTCTGCTGATATTAAATCACCAACTGCAACATAAGTCGTCCCAGGGTAAAGAAGTTTGCTCGTAACCGGCCACAGCCTAAAGTTATTGTGAATTGCTGAAGAAAACAACAAATAAAAACAAATTAAAATAAACAAAACAATTAATCAACACCATCGACGCTCCTCAGAAGTAAAGAAATAACACAAATTGTGGGCGTATGTATTATCAAGTGTATCTGTATAATAGAGTTAAATAGCTAGCTGGCTAGCTGGCTAGCTAGCTAGCTAGCTAGCTAGCTGTAAATACACCATAGCGTACGTAGCCATTCAGATTTAAACACACACAAATACACACACGCATACATGCACATAATAATGTATGATATAAATATATATATATATACATATATTATATTATATATACATGTATATATATATGTATATGTACACACCAATAGGTAGAATATGAATATCTGGGTTTTCAGCAGCTAGGCGGAAGAAGCCGTTTTTAAAGGGCTGCAGTCTGCCCGTGACACTGCGCGTCCCTTCGGGAAAAACAACAACAAATACCCCTTCTGCTAGATTGCGAAGAGCCTCCTGAATAAACAAATAATCAAATAAATAAATAAATAAATAAATAAATAAATGGTGCATACATATTAGTAGATAAATATGTAAATGTATAAATATATAAATAACAATCGAATGAAGAAGGATATTAAGAAAACGTCAGTGAGTTTAAATAAACTGCATGCAGAAATTCAAATAAAAAGCAGCTGCGCATACACCCGAATCCACCGATAAGTGCAAATAAAAAGATATGCATTAAAAAAAATTTAACATCAATTCAAAGAGTCGCAAGAGACGAGAGTTTATCGATATAACCTTGAGGTATATGGATTAGGGTTTAGGGTTTTAGGGTTTAGGGTTTGCTGTTTATTATATAATGTCCAGGGTTTAGGGTTTTAGTGTTTGTAGGTTATTGTTGATTGCACATTGTTTCTTTACTGTCTGCTGTCTATTTTCTACACCCCAGCATTTACAAACCATCATTTAGGGTTTAGGCTTTAGGGTTTAGGGTTTAGGGTTTATATACTTTCATCATGTCTTGCACTGAGCCGGGTTTGGTGCCCCACCCTCCTTTGTCTTTTGTGAATTGTACGCTCAGAGTGCCTCCCATATATAACGCCCAGCCTGAAAATAATAATAAATTAACTAAATTAAATTAAATTAAATTACAGACAAAGCAGAAAATATGTCTGTATACACTTCTGTTTATACTCATGCATCAATGCAAATGCACAGTATTTCGTTTACTTCAAGTTTATAATATATATATATATGTATATATATATATATGTACATATATATATATATATACATTTCTACATAGCGTGTATATATACGTATAGACACGCGCGTATATATACGCATTATATGTATTATCTATACAAATAGAAATATATAAGAGCATATACATAGGTATATATAAATATATATATATATATACATGTATATATATCTATATATGGAAGCACCAAACACCTGACTCACAGCAAATAAATAAATAAATAAATACATAAATAAATAAATAAATAAATAAATGAAAGCAAATTGCAAAACAGCGAAAAAACAAGAAGACAACAACGGGCAACCAAAGAGAAGAATAAAGAATGAAATAGAAAATTAAAGATAATTACATTTATATTTAAACAATGCATACAATAATGCATATTTATTATTAATTCAAATACCTGCTATCGGCACCTTCAATAGAGAGCGCTTCACTACGTATATTGAGGGATATCGAAGAAGAACAGAGCCGAGAACCCAGGGGTCTATACACACAAAAAACAAAAAATATAAATTGATTTCATTCAAGTTAAATTAATTTAATTTGTATTGACAAATAAAGAATAAATAGATTTAAATGCACTAATTATAGACATGCAAAATAACTTATGCGGAGGTAAATGAGAGTAAACAAAGTTAAACAAAATAAATAAAACACGTCTAAATTTAATTTATAAAACATATCTAAGACAAGCAAATTTAAATTAAATTCAAGAGAAAATAATCAAAAAATATGCAAAAGATTTGTCTATCAGTCATGCAACAGTAGCACAGAACAACACACAAACAAACACATAAATGTACAGTAGGTGAAAACAAAAAGAATTAATTTATTAGTTTAAATATATCGATTAATTTTAATTCAATTTAATTGCCTCTACGTTATTCAAACAACCGAGACAGTCTCTCTCTGCTTTTACACACTGCCCTCTCCTTCGTATATATTAATAACTAATGGCGGCCTTTGTCTGTCTCTCTTCGAGTGTATACACAGTACAATGATGTTAAATCAATAAATATAATATTATAATATCATTTGCATTGTTGTTGCATGCAGTCGCTTTACCTATGGGAGATTTGCAAATAGAAAAGAAGAAAAGTAAAAAATGATACGCACCTACTTTGCTGGTGTGATTAGCAACAACAATTATTTTTTTTGAAGAAATACCCGAAGGAAGAGGCCTAAGGATTTTCATTCTCCAAAAGGGGCGGCATAAGCTGTACGCTGCATGCATGAAAACAGCAAGACGGGTGCAACAATCATCACTTGTATAAATGATGTTGCTGTCTATTCAGTACACAAGTAATACTACCTTAACATCACACGTGTGTAGATACACCTGAGGCAAACAACAGGTCATATATCCTTCTTTTCTCCTCATAGACACGCCTGTGTGCATAGTATATGATTATAGAACAAATGCAGCAAGCAGCAGCAGCACTGGAGCTGTACACTCAACATGTGCAGCAGCAGAAGGGCTCACCGAGGTGCATAAGCAGCTGATGAGTGCCTCCGAGAACGACAATGCGGAGTTTGGGTTTAATCAGCAAAAAAGGAAACAAAAAAGTACCCTCAACAGCCAGCGCCGCGCAAGAAATAATGAGGCAGATGGATACGACGGTGTAGAAGTAAACCGTAAGAAGAAAGCGGAAAGCTGTATATAAAGTCGTCATTTTCAGTCTCCTTTAATAAAAAAGAACTAAAATATTAACTATATTAGATGAATGAAGAAGAAAAATTCAAATTCACAAACAGACAGGAACGCAAACTCCGCACGGTTGTTGTCGCGCATGAGTCAGCTGTACAGAGGGAACGGCGAAGGAAATTACTCCAATACGAAAAAAGAAACAGAGAAAGACACAAAGTAATTAAACTCATGAATTATACTGTATTTTAATCAGTATGAATTCATATTCAGCTAGCTTTCTTCTTCAGTCCAGCTGCCTATACACTTGAGGCAAACCACCGCGTGTGCTCACAGCCCCACCCAACAGCGAATATAATTTCATAAAGATATATTTTTAAATGGGTTTTTTGTTGAATTTGAATTGAAATATCTCTTTAATGCTTTTTAGGATGAATTCTTTTTAAAAGAAGGCTTGTCTTCCTTCTTTTTTCATCATACCTCGTTCGGTTCTTGCATTATTCGCATCGGTCCTCTCCTTTGGATATTTGCGTCGGTGAAGTTGGCGCGTTTGTTGACTTTTAATTGTCCACTTCATCTCAGCTGTATATACGCTACATTTAGGGTTTAGGGTTTAGGGTTTAGGGTTTAGCTTTCCCATGGTTCAGTTTGAAGGCGTAGAAGACTGCCCCGAGGCAGCGGAGGGGAGCCGCTTACAGGCCCTCAAACAAGGCATGTTAACGAATGAAAATAATAATAAAGATGCATTAAAGCTGCTACATAATGAAGAAGACTCGCGGGGTGATGCTGCTGACGAAGACAGAACAGAGAAAAGCATCTTCCCGCAGCAGATTCAATCTGCGAAAGAAAGTCTTCATCTCCATGCAGTAGCAAATGAAGTAAAAGGATCTTCACCAGGTAAAGAGGCAAAAGAATCAAAAGTGATTTCTTGTCAAGAAGAACAACTGGTAAAAACAACTAATGACGCTGCAACAGGAGGAACTGCAGAAACAGCAGCAGCAGAAACAACTGCAGCAGAAACGGCAGCAGGAGAAACAGCAGCAGCAACAGCAGCAGCAGCAACAATAGCAGAAGCAACAACAGCAGCATCAACTGCAGATGCACAAACAGCAGCAGCAACAAATGTAGCATCTACAGAAGGAATGTCTAAGAATGCGCTTAGGAAGCAGCGGGCGCAGCAGCGGCTGCTGGAGGCGAAGGAGCGGCGTCGGTCTTTGCGTGCATCAGCAAAAAGGCAAAAAAAGAATTTAAAAAGAGAACAAGCAGCAGCAGCAGCAGCTGCAGCAGCAGCAGCAGCAGCAGAAGGAGAAGCAGGAGCAGCAGCAACAGAACCATCAACAGCAGAATCATCTGCATCAGCAGCAGCAGCAGCAGCACAAGACGCAGGTATATCTATTCGTATTTGTATTGATTGTGATTATGAAGACTTGCAGTGCGAGTCAGAGATATATTCTCTTGTGCAGCAATTGATGTATTCATATGGAGACGCAAATCGTCTTAACAGACAAAGAGAAAAAATTAAAAAGTCAGGAAGAAGATGGCGGAGCGGCTGGAGAACTGCTAAAACTGCTGCTGCTGCTGCTGCTGCATCATCTGATGCTGCTGCTGCAACAACTGCTGCCTCATCGGAAGATGCTGCTGCTGCTGCTGTTGCATCTGACGCTGCTGCTGCTGCCTCATCTGATGCTGCCGCTGCATCATCTGACGCTGCTGCTGCTGCCTCATCTGATGCTGCTGCTGCCTCATCTGATGCTGCTGCTGCAACAGCTGCTGCCGCTTCGGATGCTGCTGCATCTGCTGCTGCTGCTGCTTCATATGATGGAATGAAAGAGGAGAGAAACTCACAAAGCAATGAAGCAGAAACGCATGCAAACAAAGAAGCAGAGCAGATTCCTGCTGCTGCTCACTGCAGCAGCAGCAGCAACAGCAACAGCAACAGCAACAGCAGCATTGAAGGCACCAGCAACGACTGCAGAAGCAACGGCAGCAGCAGCAGCACAGCCACCACCACCAGCACCTCCAGCAGCAGCAGCACCCCTAGCAACAACATCATTAGCAGCAACAGCAACAGCAGCAGCAGCAGCAACAGCAGCAGCAGCAGCAAGAATGAAGAGCGTGCTGCAGTTGAGTTATGCATAGCTGGTGTAGGCCCGAGGGTATCTGCTGCTTTGCGTCGCGTGCAGTGTAATGGACAATGGAAATGCGAGATAACGACTTTATCTTTTGAAGAAAAGTTTAGAGATGAATGCGAAGAAGGAAGAGTAATATATTTAAGTGCTGATGCTGAAGAAGAAATAGATACACTCGAAGAAGACAAAGTTTATGTTGTAGGGGGGCTTGTAGATAGAAATAGATATAAAAATATTAGTCTTCATAGAAGTCAAAGTAAAAATATCAAAGCTTTCAAGCTGCCTATACACTCGAAATTCAAACATAAATTCGAAGGCTCCAGAATACTCACAGTCAACCAGGTAATACAAATTTATACTTATTTAATTAATTCTTTTATTTGTTTTTCTGTTTGTTTGTTTATATGTCTGTTTGTCTATATATATATATATATATGTATAATATGTGCACTGTATTATTTATGTATATTCGTTTCTCTTCATCTACTCCAAACCCAATGCCGCACCGTTATGTGTCATGTATATGTATGTATATTTATATATATACATGTATATATATATGTATATACATTATATATATATATATATATATTATGTATATAGGTATGTATCTCTCTATGCATTGTACAAAACAAGTAAATGTGCGCAATATATAAATATTATATAGAATTCCCGTATATACTCTGTGCCATGTTGCATGCATGCGTATATATATATAT